CAGATAACTCAGAGAAACAACCTCTGGAGACATCAGCAAATTCACATACGACAGTCGGGGTTAGATTTTTTTGTTAACCCCGACCAGGAATGAACCATGTCTGGATGAATGTCCAGTGGAGGTCTGAGGGTCACTCGACTTGAAATGTTATCTTTGATTTCTCTCCACAGATGCTGCCAATTCTGTTGAGATTTTCCAGCAATTTCTGTTTTTTATTTGTTTCTGATTTTTCCAGGGGAGTTCCATTGTTGTCTGATGTAGATCAATGATTAAAACCGAGTTGTATGGGCCATAATTTAGAAGTTTGCAGACAACACGCAACAATACGTGATGTAGTGAACCATAAGGAACAAAGCCTGGGATTGCAGGGAGATATCAATCAGGTGGAAAGAAAAGAATGATGAACGGAATTCAATCCAAAGAGATTCATAATGAATTCAGGGAGAGTGAACAATGGAAGTGGGGATGCTGAGTGGTATAGAGGAACAAAGACACCTTGGAGTGGACATTCACAAATTCCTGAAGGTGGTTGGACAGGACAATCACATGGTCAAGAGCGTTTTGGGATACTTTCTGTTCTCGACCACAGGCTGGTCTATAAGATCAGGAAGTTGATGCGAGAGCTTTAGCTAACACCAGTTCAGAGAACAGCTGGAAGACCGAGCACAAGTCTGGTCATTGCGTTCGTCAACTTTTTTAAAAAAAAAATCATGATAGAAGATCCAGGGCAGAAACAGGCTTTTTGGCCCGTCAATTTCACTGCACCACTCAATGAGATCATTATTGATACTGCTCCAAGTCAGGATGGTACGCACCCTGGAGGAGAACTTGCAGATGGTGTTGTTTTGATGCATTCTCTGCTCTTGTCCTTCAGGGTGGTAAGAGCTTGCAGGCTTGGAAAGTGCGGTCAAAGGAGAGTGGGTGAGTAACTGCAGTGCATTTGGTAGATAGTGCACTCTGCTGCCACTGTACCTCAGTAATGAAGGGAGTAAATGCTGAAAGTACTGAATGGGGCACCAGTTAAGTGGACTGCATTGTCTTGGATGGTGTCAGGTTTCTTGGAGCTGCATCCATCCAAGCAAATTGACAGTGTTCTTAATGACAGACATTCTTAAATGATGCACAGGCTTTGGGGAGTCATGAGTTGAACTAATCACGATAGAATCTTTTCCCTCTGACCTACTTTTGTAGGCACAATATTTAAATATCACGCCCAGTTCAGTTTCTCATCACCACAAGCACCCCAGGATGATGATAGTGGGCAATTCAGTGAAGATAAAACCATTGAATGTCAAATAGTTATGGTTAGATTTTCATTTCTCAGATTTGGTCATTAGCTGTTGGGACGTGGTGCAAATGTTCTTTGTCACATAGCAGGCTAACTTCAATGTTGTCCAGGGACACTGCATTTAAATATCTACCACTACAGTAGCTGAGTCACAAATGGTGCTAAACATCATGCAATCATTGACAAACATATCCACTTCTGACCTTATGACGCAGGGAAGGACATTGATGAAACAGCTGAAGGTGCTTGGGACCAGAAACTGATGCTGAGGAATTTCTGAAGCTGAGATAGCTGGCCTCTAACCAATCACAAGCACCTTCCTCTGTATTCAGTATTATCCAACTAAGGTGAAGTCGGGCAAGGAGGATAGGAGAGTGTACAACGGGAATATAAAAATATAAAAGGAAAGCAGTGGAGCATTAAAACACAGAACAAGTGGGAGATAAGCTTGGACGAACAGTACAGCACAGGGCTAAGAGTCAAATACAACCATGTAATGACAGTTATTTCGTCTCAGGTAGTTTAAATGCATATCTACAAGTGAACCATCAGCAGTTACGAACTAAAAATACTCACTTAAGCATCACTCACAAAGAAAGGCTTGCGTGCTGTGAGCTGATGGTAGGGACAGAGAAACTCTGAAGATAACGTGGAAATGGAAGACCTGTTGAAATGAGAGGACTCAGGACTTTGTAAGAAACTGAACAGCATCCTGTTTTTGTAGTCAATGACTTATCTAATTTATTTTATGCCAATGTTATATACAACCATCCTGACGTGAAAACGTCTCAATATGCTGTTTTGAGCTGCAAATGGTAGAGTATCTCCAAGCGAGACGAGGAGACCTCTTCCGCATATATGTGGTACAAGCTTGAATAAATTCACCTTGTTTTGATCTACTCAGGTCTGAAGATGCAATCTTTTCAAAAACCCACAATCAAAGCGAGAATAATATTCTCTGAATCCCGTTGACTCTAGTTTTGCTATGATTCCTTGATACAATGCTCTGTCAAATAGAGCCTTAAGATGGCAGGAAAGTCGCACTCTCATTTGGAATTCAGCTGTTTGGTCCATGTTTGCACCAAAAATGTGAGGAGATCAGGAGATGAGTGGCCCTTGCTTAACTCAAACTGAGATCCATCAATGATATTGCAAAGCAAGTGCTGCTTGATGTCATTGTTGTCATCCTGTTTTGACTGCATTTAGGTATCGACAGGCCAGACGATTGACTGAAGGCTTGTCCACACAGACCATGTGTATGGTTTCTCTTCACTGTGAACGATGCTTTTTTCTTCCCTACCTGAGACGTTCAAAGCTCTCGAGAATTGAGTGTTACTGGCAGCTGTTGATCCAATTTTTGACTTGAGCTGCCTGTCTGTAAATCCTTTCCAATTCCCTAGAAAATAAATTTAAAACAGTCAGAAGTGGAATGAAAGCTTCTGGATTGTTAGAAAAACCCACCTCGATCATGAATGTCCTTGAAAGGACAGAAGATGAAAAATACAGGACAAAGCAGGCTGTGGGAACTGGCTACTGAGCCAGTCCTCATTTCTGCAGGGCCAGCAGAGTGGGAGGTTTGAGTGATACCACAACAACGCTGTCTGTATAACAATACAAACCGTACAACTGTCTGACCATAACCTGTGTCAGCCTGTACTTGGATAAATGTAAATGACCTGAGCTTGCTGAAAAGCATTACTGTAAACAAGTGGGAATTCATGGGCCACCTTCACACACACGCGGTCCCCCTTTGTACTGGTGAGACTTGCATTTGGACCACTGTGTTCAGTTCTCGTCACCGTACTTATAGAAAGTTATTATTAATACATTGGAAACATTTCAAAGAAGATTTAATGGACTAATACCTAGAATGAGTCGAGTGCCTAATGGGGAAAGGGTAGACAGGCTGGGCCTGGATCCTCTGGAGTCTAGAAAAGAAAGAGGAGACTAAATTGAAATTTGAAAGATATTGAGGGGAGCCGACCACGTGGATGTTGAAAACATGGTCCCTTTTGTGGGAGAATCTAGAACTGATAGTCATTGTTTAAAGGTAAGGGTGAATCCATCTGAAATGGTGAGGAACATTTCTTTTCTCTAAGAGGGTTGTGAATCTTTGTAACTCCCTTTGTCAAAAGGCAGTGGTTGCAGATTGTTAAACTTTTTTTTTAAGGCAGAAGCAGACAGATTCTTGATGACTGAGATGATGAAAGATATTCAGGGATACGCAGACACAGAGTTGAGGTTGAAATCAGGTCAGCCCTAATCTTATTGAATCTCAGAGCAGGCTCAAAGGGCCGAGTGGCCGACAGTTGTTCCTCATTCATATGCTCGAATGAACCGGAGAACAAAGAAACACAAATCTTGTCTGATTATTGGGGGGTCAGGAGGGTATTTGAGCTCCTACTTCACCTACTCGGTATATTAGTTCCATTTTATCCCCCCACCCAGCTTCAATTAACATCCTTTTAATTTCCAGGGAATACACCATTTTTGGTGAGATGAGGCATTTTGATAGAAGAAGAGGAGAACATATGAAATAGGATCTAGAGTTGTCCATTATGCCCCTCGAGCCTCAAAAAGGTCAAAGCTCATCCATTTAGGCTTCAATTCCACATTCCCAATTGGCCTTGATAATGTTTTTTTCCTTTATTCCTGTGAGCATTGCTGCTCATGCATCTAGTTGTCATTGAGAGGGTGGTAGTGATCTGCTTTCATGAACCACTGTACTCCATGAGCTGTAAGTGGACCCACAATGCTGTTAGGGTGGGAATTCAGGATTTCCACCCAGCAATACTGAAGGAATAGTGATATATTTCCAAGTAAGGATGGGGAGTGGCTGGGAGGGAATTCATGCCCAACATCCAGTCTCAGAGACCTACAGCACAGAAAAAGCCTCGGCTGACTCTGTCTGATTTAGTCACTATCATCTAAGGAGTCTGTTATCCCACTTTTATAGTGGACTCGAACATTTTTTCCCACCAACAATGTTATGCAAATTCCATGTTTTCTCTCTGACTTCCTTCTTAAATACTGGGGTTATGTTAGCTACCCTCCAAACCATCGGAACTCTTTGCGAGTGTATCGTATTTTGGAGTATAACCACTAGCGCAGCTGCTATTTCTAAGGCCACTTCCGAAGGTACTCTGAGATGAAAGTTATCAATCTCTGGGGATTTATCTGCCTGTTATCTCATTAGTTTTCCCAATTTGTTACAAGTCCACCTTCCAATTAGACCCTGTGATCCCCTTAATTTTGGGACATTATTTGTGTGCCCCTTTTTGAAAATCTAAGATATATTTAATTGGTCTGTCATCACTTTGCACTCCATTATAAAATTCCCTGTTTGATTGTAAGGAGACCTGACATTTTTCTTGACTAATCTTGGATTATCAATCTTCAATTAAGAGTTTAATGACAATCATGAAACCGTTGTTGATTGTCAGGAAAAACCCATCTGGCTCACGATTATCCTTTAGGAAAGAAACTGTCATCCTTACCCGGTCTGGCCTATATGTGACTCCACCCCCACTGCAATGCAGTTAACTCTGGGCAATCAGGGATATGCAATAAATTCTGACCTAGTTAGCAATGTCCACATCCTGTGAGCGTCTATTTAAAAAAAGCCGTTGGTTTTATGGTCCATGCAAGAGTACTCTCAGATTCTATTTTCTCCCTCTAATTAAATCCCTTTGTCTCCCTTTGCTGAAATCTAAACTGTTCCCAATCCTTAGGTCTGTTGTTTTATTTATCCAATTTGTATGCTGCTTCCTTAAATTTAATACCCGTTCATTTCTCTTTCTCTGCCATGGTTTGACCACGTTTCGATTTTATTTTTATGCCACAGCTTGTCCACGTCCTCTTTCAATGTTTGCCATTACCCATCTCCCATCATCCATTTAAATTGTGATCCACAATTTATCACAACTGGCTCA